AAAGACATGTTCAAGGGTCAAAAAGATAATTCCGTTGTGGACAAGCCAGTTACCAGTTTGTTATACAGACAGCTGGAGCACTTGAAGTTGTTCTCGTCAAGAAGATCACAGTTAATTTCCTTTTCTCCATGGGCACAAAATCCCTTAAGCTTTCTAATTAGTAGTGAATGGGCGGAATGTAAATGTGCCGCTGCTGCTCGTGGTTTAATGATATAGTGGAGTCTAAAGGAGTATTGTGTAGATAATGGCTCTACAGTCAGCTGTTACCATTGCTCGCCCACTCTCAACAGCCTGTTGCCCGAGATACAGTCTTTCGCTTTGTCTTCTCAATAGCATTTTTCTTGACAATACATCATTTGGGAGGGTTTTAAAGCATTTCTAAAGTGTTTGTATTCAAGTGGCTTTGCTTTTTTGTGTGCTGGCGCTATGATGAAACTATCAGAAAGTCGACTGAGGGAAAGTTCTTGACATGGAGTTGTCTTGTTCAGTGTTGTTCAGTTGAGAATTGCAAACTCACCCACTTATCCGGTAGATCCTGTTGTCATTTGTCAACTGTAGTGTTTTTTTTTTGTTTATTTCTTTTAAATGTACACTTATGTAGCATTATTTTACTCTCACAGTTCTTCCACTCACAGTTATTCAAGATTTGAAACTGTTGTTCTGTCATGGCAGGAGTTCACCTAAAAAAATACCATAGACTACTGAGGAAAAAAACATTAGCTAATGTCGTTATTGCAATGCTGAGAATACAATGTTCACTTGCACTGTATTATAAATTGGATCAGAACTTTTCTGGACATTGCTGCAGTTTTACTGCGGAATTGGGCTACTTTTACACTGTTGTTGCGGGTTGTTTTTTTAGTTTGAGGGTTGAAACGACTTCCTCCTCCCCCGGAATGCAATTTCGAGGAGGGGACCGTAGGAAAAAACATAACTAGGCTAGTTTTGCAATTTTAGCAGTTGGGCTGTTTTGTTTTGCAGACCTGACAGTCATGTTTCCAGGTCCGTACATCTGTCTTGGGTTGTTTCACCAAGTATATAGTGTAATCCAAAATTCTGTTATGAAACTCTAGATGATGCAGGCCGATAGTTTCTAATTCAATCTGATATAATGACATCACTATTCACATGGTGCAGCCGAATGGTTCTTTTCACATCATCAGCCAATGAGCTGCTGCTCAGCATTCAAATACTCGGATAGTGATTGCTGTAGCAGTTGCAGCACGCTTCAGAAACCCTCCACCTTCCCCAGCTCCAACTGTCTAGATCTGCTATGGGGTAATTTCATGTATGTTATATATGGGGGTTATTCATATATGTTATATGTGCAGCAGCAGTATTTCTTACATGCTCACAGCAACATGTTTGTGGATGTGGCAGTAGCAGGTCTCAATACTTGTTCTGCTGCAGCAGCGTAGCAGATCTATTCTGCCAAGACCGGAGAGTTATCATGACAGAAATGCAGTTATCGCATATGGGTCACTCTTAAAAGGAGGAGATGTAAGCTGGTTGTCAGAAAAATAGGATATTGTCAACAAATCAGAATTGGACATCAAGACCTTAAGAATATATACAGCTAAAGACTTCTACGTTTAAATGACCTTACATTGTTTTAGTGTATTTGCTTGTGAAATTAGTAAAAATGTGCAGCCATAACATTTTGTGTTTAATTTATATAGATGTGGGTGGTAATATGTTATGTATTGTTAGTTATGATATCATAACTTTTGCATGTAACCCACATTGTTTGTAGTGTTGGCATGATACCTCAAGTCATATTAAGACACCAAGAACACCCGAGCAATGCCCTGGTAGTGTTGTCAAAAGTACAAACTCAACAGATATGTCTGTGATTGGCTACAATGATCATTGCTTCACGCTCTTTACCGAGCGCTCACACAGAAGCACACAGGACCGTTTGAAAGCCACGTCTATCAGAGGATCTTTCTATGAGCAGAAATATTAGGGATCCACTGACAGATCTGCTGATAGACAAGGCTTTTAAACGCTCCCGTGTGTATCTGTGTAAAGCTAGGTGCACACTGCGATTTTTAATAGTCCTTTACGATTGTTGCTTGTCAGGCTGTACAAACATGATCATGTCACACTGTAGGATCGCAGTTGTCATTAATGTCAGACTGTACAACAGTCAAGACGCATTCAAATGGATGCGTGCAAGAAAACATGACCAGAATTTTACATTATCAGCCCATACACGTTCAGTGACTATGAGCTGCATTACACGTGGGGCTGAAATGTTGGCTATCATGAAAAGTATATGAATGGCGGCAATAACGGCGTATTTAAGAAGAATAGTGTAAGCAGCACTAAACACCCACATGAAAACAACGGCGCAACCAGAGTTTATCATAGCAAAGGCAACATATCATAGGAATTCCGTGAGCGGACGAGGGGAGCACTGGAGTTTATGGCGGTTAGAAGAAATTAGTGATCGACCGATATTTATATTTTATAACCGATACCAATTATTTGCATGTTTATGTGCCCGATAACCGATATGCAGAACCGATATTTATTTACTGTTATAAAGTAAATAAATGACTGAGTGAAGTACATCCATACTTCACTTTAGTTTTTCCTCCTTTCAGTCATCTTAAAAAAAGTGTTGAAATGTTAAATTCAATCTTCACATTACAACAATAAAAAAACATTTTATTTAAAGCATCAGCAGCAACACTAATATTAACAATAAGCAAAATAAATGTAGAAGGTTTGTAAAGTTTTTAGTTTGTAAAGTAAAAATGTAAAGTTTTCAAATGGAGAAAATAAAAGGAAAGGAGTCATATCAACTTCATTTTAAACTACAGTTTTAGTAGGTTTATAAGATGTTTAATAGGCTAAAGAGTGAAGAATAATTCACTGGATAATGTTAATTCACTGAATAATATTCTCTGGAATATTGAAATATAACAAAAAAAACAACGTATTTTATTGCATTTCTCAGCTGGCATGTTATATCAGAATTATTAATAATGGTTTTGTCGTTCTAGATTATGAAATGCCTGCTGACAGCGCAGTTTATCTATGCATTTAATTCCATAGAGTTGTATCTATTTAGATGTTTATTAGCGAAATAATGTCTATTTGGTAAATGTTAATACAATTAAGGGTGTTTTAAACAAGTGAATCTTGTTAAAAGTTACATGTGGTGGCCGTGCTGGAGCATTTCCTGAGCATCAACCCGGTGAGTGAACAGCAATATGAAAGCGGCTTCACGAGACTAATGATGAGCATAGAAAACAGACAGAGAATTAAATTTAGCGTTTTTATTTCCAACATGCGCTCATTCATGGCTGTATTACTTAATTAATGCAAAGTTACGTCTTTATTGGGAGAGGACTTGATGGATTATCTTAGCCTACGTGACTCCGACTTCATGAGACGATGAGCATATAGACAACAGAGAGCGAATTAAATTCAGCACTTTAATTTTCAACATGCGCCCATTCATGGCTGCATATTATTTAATTCACGCAAAGTTACGTCTTTATTGGGACAGGACTTGACGGATTATAGGACTTGACAGAGAAACGGATATTTCTTCGAGCCAAGCTGCATAAACTGCATATCAGGCATTTATATGTACATCTCATTTGTGCATTAATGGCTGTTATGTGAAATAAAGTTTACTAACTACAGTAAATCAAGTACCCATGCACGCCGTTGTTGTTGTCTTGTTTCCCCTCAAATCCGCTGCAATAGTGATCCTGCGCTCAATTCTCAAAACATCCACAAGATGGCGGCTTTATCGGTGAATCCGATATTACAAAACCGATATCCAATTATTGTAAAATGCTTAAATATCGGGAAAATATCGGTAAATCGATATATCGGTCGATCTCTAGAAGAAATCTCTAGCATTAATTCTGATCATGGCTTGTCTAGAAGAACTAAGACAGCTTAACGTTCGTCGTATGAGACGTCACACTGCAAAACACTGCCAGAATTTAATTGGAGGTAAAATTTGACAAAGACTACAGATTTTAGCGTAGTATTATAGGAATCTTTTAGGTTTTTCAAAATTTGTCTCAGACAACCAAATCATGGCCAAAATCGCACAGTGTGCGCTGGGCTTAAGCGCTCAGTGAAGAGCGTGAAGCAATGATCATTGTAGCCAATCACAGACATACTGTATCTGTTGAGCGTGTGAACACAATGGCCAATCAGAGGCGTTTAAAATTCCTCTCAACAGTGCTCAAAATGGTAGCGGGAAATGCTGGTATCGTCAGACACACAAGTCGGTACTTTTGACAACACTATGCCCTAGCAACAACTCTGAACCTGATCCTCATCGAGTTACTAAGGTGGCAACCCTGGTGGCAAGTTTTGCATGAAGAAGCACCACTCACATTCCTTTCAAACATGCTGTTGACACACTGGAGTCAGTTGACTACAGTGCATGAACCTCTCTGTGCTCATGATTGAAGTCTTTCTTCAGTGCACCCGAGAGAGGTTTTTCAGTATCAACAAAACTACAGTTTTCTTTCCCCAACACAATCAGGGCAGCCCTCAACAGCCTGACAGCACAATCTAATGAATCGCCATTAACTAACTATATTCCCATGAAAAACTGGCACTCTCCAGGTAACAGAGTGCTGCTGTGGTGAAACTAGAGTCACACTTAAAAGAACAAAAAAAGACTCAAGTTTGCTTTTAAAGAAGATCAAGCAGTTGCCTGGGGGGGGCGGGATTCGCTTCTCCATTCCTTCCTCATTTATTTATTTTTAAAATGGCATTTCACTCCCAACTCTTAATGCGCTCTCTTGCAGTCTGTCCATCCTCTCATCTCTCCTCACGCCTGTCCGTCACACACAAAGTGAAAGTGGTAGCGATGAATTATTCACCACCACTTGAACCCCACAGCCGCTCTCATTCTCGCTTTTTCTGCAGCTTTAATTTCAGAGGATGACAATGAGGACAATATCTGATTAATCAAACAAAGAGCCATGGTTTTTAAAAAGCTCAGATGAGTGAAGGACATGGAGGTGAGCGTGGTATGCTTCAGGGGAGAAAGGAGGTTAAACATTATGATAGTTGGCATCGGATTTGAATGTTTGAAATATTGTTTCTTCTTCAAGAGGAATTACGACTAGTGAAATGCTGGGTATCTACTGGGTTAAAAGCAACTTAAAGGATTAGTTCACTTCTAGTATAAAAATTTCCTGATAATTTACTCACCTCCATGTTATCCAAGATGTTCATGTCTTTCTTTCTTCAGTCGAAATTAAATTAAGGTTTTTGAGGAAAACATTCCAGGATTTCTCTCCATATAATGGACAAGACTCTTATTCCTCTACTGGGATCATGTAGAGCCCTTTGAAGCTGCATTGAAACTGCAATTTGAACCTTCAACCTGTTGGTCCCATTGAAGTCCACTATATGGAGAAAAATTAGGGATGCGCAATAATGGATTTTTGCTGATATCCAATATGCCGATAATTTTGGTCGATTGCCGATACGATATATAATTATTTTTAATTTGGGTTAGTTTTTAACAAGAACTTATTTGTTAGAATTAAATAAACAATATTATAATTATTTTATAATGACAGTACATTGAAGATTTGAAAATAACTATAAATAAGCTATATATTAATCACTGAATTTTTTTCAGTGGTAACCTTAACATTTTATTTTTATGATTTAACATTTGTAAATGGTCTAAAGCAAAAGAGTGTTAAAAATTCTGAAAATCTTTTAGAGTTCATAATTTGTTTAAAAAATATAACATATTACACATTAATGAATACATCAGTATATATACAATTATTTGATTTAAGTAACAAGAACTTATTTGTTAGAATTAAATAAACAATAATAAAGTTATTTTATAATGATTGAAGATTTGAAAATAACTATAAATAAGCTATATATTAATCACTGAATTTTTTTCAGTGGTAACCTTAACATTTTATTTTTATGATTTAACATTTGTAAATGGTCTAAAGCAAAAGAGTGTTAAAAATTCTGAAAATCTTTTAGAGTTCATAATTTGTTTAAAAAATATAACATATTACACATTAATGAATACATCAGTATATATACAATTATTTGATTTAAGTGTCATGTTTGATTTTTTTTTCATGTAAGCTATAGATTCTGACCTTTAAATCAAAACATACTCATAATTTTATGGCATCAATTACTGCTTTATTTAATCAGAAACACTGTCTAAATATTATTTGTGTATTTTGCTTTCATTTTATTAGAAGTAGGCCTACAGCGCCCCCTACGGAATTAATACTCCTTACTGAGCAGGCATTAGTACCCGGGGGAAGGCTGCCGCTGCACGTGCTATTACTGTTTACTCTAGGGGAAGGCAACTTCGGTCCTGGAGTGCTGATGTCCTACAGAGTATAGCTCTAACCCTAATCAAACACACCTGAACAAGCTAATTAAGGTCTTCAGGATTACTAAGGCTGCAGGCAGGTGAGTTTTTTTTCAGGGTTGGAGCTAAACTCTGCAGGATATCGGCACTCCAGGACCGATGTTGCCTACCCCTGGTTTACTCTATCATACACCGAATGCGTCATTCTGTTCGTGCATTCTCAGTTTAAATGCAGCGATCCAAAATCATTCAATGGTGAATCCAATCACCATTCAGGCAAAACTTTGCTTCAAGAATGAGCCACAATGCTGATGTGATCTAATCGCACTGTTGACTGATCTAATCGCTAGCACACCCTGAGCAAATGTGAGTTAATGTATTCCTCTTATCAGTAAGACATATCGGCATAATTTTTCATATCGGGCCCATGCCGATATTTACATTTAAAGCCATTATCGTCCGATTCCGATATTTGTCCAATAATATCGTGCATCCCTAAGAAAAATCCTGGAATGTCACTAACATAGCTACACTTGCTCAACCAGTGACAGTCATTATTTTCAATTCAGTTTGATCCCACTGAATTTACGCACGTTTTCTCATCTCTCTACAGTCACTTTAGGGAAATTTCACCAGCAAAAATGACATTGTCAGTAGTGTAGCGCCGTATCAAGCACAGCTCATGCAAAACTCACTTTCAAATCAAGCAGCCTTCTGTTAGTTAACATGGCAAATCCATGTGAACAGCTTGAACCTATTGTGAAATCTGTGTGGGGAAATCATGGCCCTTATGTGAAATTACCAATTGCTTTGATTACTATTGAAATGACTGGATTTGGGCTGCAGAATTTCATGGATGAAGTTAAGTCATTCCGATAGGAATACCCAAGCAGTTTTTGCTCATTTTGTTGGTAACTTAAATTCACCACACTGACCAACAGAAAGCCACTTGGTTTGAAAATGACTTGTCAGCTCTGCTTCATACATTATGTAGCGTCTTGACCACTCCAACACACAATATATATTTTGTTAGCTAGATTTCACAAATACTTTGTAACACCCCAGGACGCCGAACAAGACCCTGGTTTCATGGTAACCCGATACATTTACAACCTTGTGGAATGCGAGCCGACTCTACCAGGAAATTAACGTCTTAGAATTGACAAGACAGTTGACCCTGAGTGGTCAGCTAAATATCTACAGTGGATCTAAAATATGAATAGTTAATTATAACTAGTTATGGTTAATTATTCATATTTCCCCATGAGCTGATTCGCTACAATTACTACATTATTGATGAGACATTTTGGGGAATTTTGCCTGTGGGTGACTGCGCCATAGTGTGTTGGCTTGCACTCTAGCACTTTTGGTGCAAACCCAGGTTTGTTTGACGTCAGAGTTTGGATAATATGAATGCTGTTTTCTGAACTCACAAACCTTACCCGAGTCCACTTAAAAAGGGTGGTAAGGATGTGAACTCCAGAGTGGTTTGCTTCTGATGTGAATGCAATCGTACTAAATCACAGAAGTGAACCGCTATTGATGACATATGAATTGGTCAAACTGTGTATTAATGTTTTCTCACTCACTTTCCTCACAAGTGTAACTGACGCGACGCAAGCAGAGAGAATTTATACCTCATTTCCACTCGCCTTCAGCAGAAATCGGCTCCCGTGTTCTTTCATATTTCATTCATGACAAATAGACACTGCGCCGTTATGTTTTGTCGTTTTGGACCATGCAATCGAATCAAGTGTGAAAGCACCCTGAGTTCTATTTCTATTAATCACAAAAGACAATAATTTGTACTCAAAAGTTTCGTTCCAAACAGGAACACCTTTAAAGTATTGAATCCATAAGGCAAATAACCTGCTGTAAGGGTAGCATATCGTTTTTGAATTCCACTGCGCTGCTTTTCCATAGTTTTTCTATGTAAACATCTTCAAATTCTGTGATCAACACCCTGGCTAACACTTTTTAAAACGTATACAACACAGACCTAATTTCCTTGCATTGTTGTATGTCGCAAAGTGTCAAAACAATTAAAGGGGTCATATGATGCTGCTAAAAAAAACATTATTTTGTGTATTTGGTGTAATGAAAAACACATAAAAAAACACATTATTTTCCACATACTGTACATTATTGTTTCTCCTCTATGCCCTGCCTTTCTGAAACGCATCGATATTTACAAAGCTCATTGGTCTGAAAAAGCAAGGTGTGCTCTGATTGGCCAGCTATCCAGTGCGTTGTGATTGGCCGAATTCCTCAAGCATGTGACGGAAATGTTACGTCCCTTACCATATTGTGATGCCTGTAGCAACCACATGTGACGACCCCGGGCTGGACTCCGCTTCGTCCACGGTGAAAGCCGATCCGGCGATCCACAGCGTGAAGTTGAAGTATTTCCTCAGCGACCAGCACGGATCAGCTCCAGGCATGAAGAAGCGATATCGTCCTCTTTTGGAAGGCCAAACAAAGTAGTTTCGCTTTCACAACGAAGCACACAGCGCCTTCACGACATGGTGGCAGCAACAATACTACAGCGAGAATAAAAGTTACGCCTTCTTTCTTTGCGTGAACATTTGGGCGGCGTTATGCAAATCTTCCCAGATAGTGACGTAGGTATGTGGGGGCGTGTTAGAACGAGCCGTTTTAGGTAGGCGTGGCTGACTCTGAACTTTTATAAAGAATATCTCTTTGGATTTGAGACTTTAATCTTTGCAACTTTACAGATCTTCTTTATGCACCAAGAGCTTGTAACACTCCAAAGAGAAAGGAAAAATTGAAATCACATCATATGACCCCTTTAAAACTGCAACAGAAGTATACCTTGTGTTCTCAGTTTTGCCACAGGGGGTGCTCAAATCGACTTTACTGTACACTATTTATTAGCCAAATGCAATGCTGCAGTAACTAGCGTTGCCATGAGATTGGGCTAATAACATCACTTGCTATACTTCTCCGGTCTGTGCAGAATTATGTAGAATATTTTAACTCATGGCATGAGCATGTAAACTTGCATTAGTAGTATGCATTATCATAGTAGATGTTCAAATGTTAGTGTGCTTTCACTGGAAAACTCGACTATGATTGCAGTGATGTTCATCTAGGTCGGGCACACACAAAGTCAGCATCTGGCCAGCCTGAAGGCTTTAAAAAAAAAGAAGTACGTCATATCTTATCATTGACATATAAATATAACTTCATGAGGTGCAGGACTCCGCATGTATGACTGGCTTGATAAGGATCTTTACGTGTCTCCATTGAGGCAGTCCCTGGGCTGGAGATGCAGAGAGTTGAACAGATGCCTGGGGCCTGTTCTGTTCACACAGATAAGCAGCTGTCACAGCTGTCATACACTCCAAAACTTATGATACTGCTTCCTGTATTAGGCAGAGCATGACCCCGCTCATGATTGTGAAGCTGTGGTGTGTTTCTGCTGACATCTGCTAGGGTCTGAAACTCATTCCTGTGGAGGACCAAGGGCTCTGCTTAATCTTGTTTTGATCTACTTCATTTTACTTTATATTTTGGCAGTTAACAGGAGGAGACAGTCGGGCAAATATATAAAGTGGCCATAGAGTGTATAAATCTGAAATCAGATATAACTTGATGTGAAGTTACAAATGTGCATAAAGTCTGCACAAATCTGAAATTGTGAAAGACTTTTCTTCACTATTGTGATATATATATATATATATATATATATATATATATATATATATATATATATATATATATATAGAGAGGGGA